TTCACACTGGTATTGGAGTAATGATCAAACTTATACAAATTTAGGAAAATTATGTGATCAACGGCGACCACTGTATATTACTAGCCATTATGCGGCTGCTGGCCTGGATCGAGAGTGTATAGGAGTCTAAGCCATGAGGCTTCAGAGCACTAAAATTATCACGCTCAGCTCCGTACAGGAAGAGAAGGGATAAGACCAGCAGGATTTGCTTATTCTATACAGGAACCCAATGATGGTCTGAATCCCAGACGCGCGGCAGGCCCCGGGCCCTGAGAGAGTGAGTCAGTGGACGCTTGGTTAACCTCTTGGTCAATAGAAGTCGACGGCACCTGTGATTGGCTGGCCCAGCAGGAGGTAGAGTAGTGAAGTCACGTGCACGTTGTGGGCATGGCGCCAGCGTTACAAGTGAGCCCCGAGGCAGTGCGGGAGGACTGGGTTCTGTTAGGGCAACCGCTAACCTACGTTGCTTATCTGTGCATATATATTGCATAAGATACATTTAACAAGAGAGTAGCTATATTTACGCTCGGGAACTGACACTCAAAATTCGAAGGGAGTCCTTCTCTAAATGCCTACCTTATTCATATAAGTTGAGCATTTCGCAGTAATAAGAACGTGACTGCACATTTTACACTTTTACCATCATCACTCTTAAAGGCTTGCTATAAATCCGTTAAGCTTAAGGTAAATCGACCGATGTAAAATGATTGAGCCGACGGTAGTTAAGACTAATAAACAAAACCGGAACCTCTACACAACCAGTCACTTCAAGCACTCACAGAACTAATGACATAGCCTGAAAGGACTTCTGTCGCATGCGTTTGTAAAACAGAATTAATTGCATTTGGGAACAACACAGCTTAATTAATAGCTCGGGTGCCATAAGAATATTCGTTGTTTGTCGGTTCTCTGCAAGGAGAATGTTCATGCAAACATCAGCCTGCCGATTAAAACGTCTCTGTTCAGATTACAGAGTCGTGTATTATACTATGATTGGCTAGCCCCAAGATATTTTTTATCTTGGAAGGAAGGTTATAGAATGCAAAAATTACATGCTGTGCAGAAACACCCTCCGAACTTTCTGGCCCCCAAAAAGGCCGTGGAGCCTAATTAAAAAGGTACATAGTTCATGGGATCGCAGATCAAGAATATACACTGTTTTGGTTTACATAAATGTACAGGTGTGCCCAAGGTTCTGATTACCTGGAAGCTCTTGACCACCCAGCAGGCAAGATTAATCCCAATCAGGATCGCGATCATCTGTCTACCGGGCTTCGAGTTTCTTTGGGACTCTTCCTCACTGCATCGACGAAAACAGTCCTGGATGAGGTAGGTCTGTAGAACTGCTTCAAGCAGTTCGAGCACGTCTAGTGCTACACGACCCATCAGGAGATCCTGTATTTTATGCTGTAAAAGGAGAGGGAAAACAACTTAGCATATTTGAGCGAAATTACTCTGTTTGGTGCTTTTATATTTCGTGAAGTTACATTGGGAATTATGCAGGTTCACTTGTGTAGAACTCACGGGGTAATCAAGGTCCCGCAGTAAGTAGCTGGCCAACGCCACTGTTGCTGTCAGGTAGATGACAGTAAACGTGAATGCGATGTAGAGCTGGAATTCATCGATGTTTTTTGGACGTAATGGAATGGTGAACTTCAGGTGGCGGAGCTTGAGAAAGGCCGCCAGCGAGACGAAGATGCCCATGCAGTAGAGGATCATCTCTTCCGTGAAGAGGACAGCGCACTTCCAGTAGGAGGTTGTGCTCTTCGGAGTAGCCCCAGTGACGATGGTTAGAACCACGATGACGGAGAAAATCACGAGCGGTGCCCAGTAGCCAGACCTTATCATAGTCGCCGAGTGCTTCGCCATCGCTTTTATACTCTATAATACAGATGGTATACAGTCGTAAAGCAAAAAAGAGGGAATTTAAAGTGTTTTGTCGAGGACAATACTTCACAAAAAAACATGATTCACAGTCCGTTGTCTTACCCGCTTTTTATGTCCCTTGCCCTCCTTCAGCTCGATATAACTTGGTTCACCGATGCGCTTTATAATCTCGTAGAGGAGGGCCGCAGAAAGGAGACTGTACTCGCTAACCGCAGGCAGGAGGTAGAAGGAGATATGCGCACTTACGGAGCTTCCGCCTCCTTCCACGGAATAGCTGCTGACAGGAAGGTTGTCATCCCTAGTATTGTTAGGGTTAAGGCTTCCGGTGAGGTGAAGGGTTGACTGAATCTTCTCCACGGTCACATCAGCCCACATGCACAAGTTGGTCCCGAGGATGTGTATAAGAGAAGCGCCAAAAAGTTCTTGGCTGTCCAAGATAACAATCTGCAACAGGAAAAGGGAAAGCTCAAAAAGATACCGTCGTTCGCAGCGTGTTCACCAACAGAAGCATCAGGCTGATACTTCCCTGGATTGATCACTCCTTCTTTACACGATTGTGATCATGTGGGAGTGAGTCGAGTTCGGTGAAGCAGGGAACACCATCTGGTCCCCTGTCATGATCAATGGCTTCAGATTTGGAGCGATGGATCCCTTCGGTTTCCAAGGCAGCAAACCGAATAATGAAGCTCCAAGCAACACTTTTATGACTTCATTCATTGTGCTCAGGCCGGTTTTAAGCCCTCCACGCCTTCGATGTTTTTACTTGAGTAGTTGTACCGCACTCATGAGAC